GGCAAGGGAAGCGACGCAGAAGTGGAGTTAAACAAGGAAAATGTAAAGCAAAGTATTCTTAATTATCAAATTATATCATATTATTGGTGTCGTATCTATATTTAATTATTGGTGTCGTATATTATATTCATATCTAATTATCGGTGTATATTACATTTATATTTAGTTATTGGCAAATTATATCTAATTATTGGTGCCGTGATGTTCCGTTGATTCGCTACCTCGGAGAATTTTGGGTTACAGGATTTAAGTAAATTTGTGTTGTGCGAAGAATGTAATCCATAAAAGGCCCTATGTAATCCATAAAAGGCCCCTAATGTAATCCATAAAAGGCCCTATGTAATCCATAAAAGGCCCTATGAAAAGGCCCTATGTAATCCATAAAAGGCCCTATGTAATCCATAAAAGGCCCTGTAATCCATAAAAGGCCCTATGTAATCCATAAAAGGCCCTATGTAATCCATGCGAAGGCCCTATGTAATCCATGAGGACGTGGTATGGGTGAGTGACATTACTGCTTCAGTTACGTGCTCTATTAACGAAGGGATTATTGATATATAGTAAGAAATTGGAGCCGGATTTCGAGACTGACCTGCCTTGACGTGTATCGTCTGGTTTTGAGATGTGTTGTTTTTCTTTAGGATTTAATTAATTACCTTCCATGTGTTCTTGGAATTGTTTGAATCAGCCTCTAGTTTTTTAATTATTATTATTATTATATTAATTATTATTTTTTAGTTTATTATTATTATTTGCTGCAAGTTGAGCGAATCACCTTAGGGGTGGTTGGCCGTTTTCAACATTTTCAGAAGTGTACAGAATATACACTTTTTGGATAACCCACTTCCCCCCCCCCCCTCAGAAAGTTCACAAGAAAATGTTATTACACACGGAGGTTACTTTATTCATGTCGCCTTTGTATGAAACATCTCAAAATGTCGAATAAGATGAAAATTTATACCACTGTTCATTTTCGCAGTACAAATCACAACAGTCTCAAATGGAGTGAAAATATTTAGAGTAGTATGACATCGCTATCATCATCATCATTATTACCTTTAATTATCCTTATTGTTACAGACAAATCCCAAATAACAATATTTTGTTATATTGCGTAACTCTTCAGAGGATAGGAAAACACGAGGTAAATAATTTTACATCTATTTAAACTTCACACATAACTACATTCATAATTACAGTCTGTTTTTACTCCCAACCATTCTCATGCAAACCATTCACTCTAGTGCAATTGTCTGTAAAAATTTGTATATATATATATATATATATATATATATATATATATATATATATATATATATATCATACAAATTAGCATATAAAACTGTAAAAATAAAGAATACAGGATTAAAACACGCTATATTTCGATACAAAGTATATCATTTGCCAACAATTTCACACACACAAAAAAAAACATATATATACAGTATAACATATTTCAGAACGATCGCCCCGCCCTCGACCACCGCCGAGGAGGCGAACCCCGCCCAACTCACGTGAAGAGCAGATGAAGTCTACGTCCAGCCTCGACCAGCCGCCCTCGGTGAGCTCGACCCGGGACACCTTCCGGCCGCCGCCGAAGGTCGTCCCGTTCTCGCACCTGTAGATGACGATCGTGCCCACGGGGTAAGGGGGGGCGGGGGCGTCGGTGATGGCGCCGTAGGGGGTCGTGGAGGGGGGTCGTAGGTGCCTGAGAGGGGCGAGGGAGACGTGGCAGTTGTGTCTCTGCTTTAATTATGATTTTTATTATTCGGAGAACCATTTTGATATCAACATTATCTGCAGAAGTATTTATGCATATATTTTGCAATGCAACAGGACGTTTCCTGAAGATAAATGAATATTATTTAGATTTTCTTCGGTAATAGACATACAACTCGTGGATGGATTAAACAGTAAACTTTCCTCCTTTCAGATTTCCTCTTTATGTACCATGAAAGGTTACTGGCAACTGATCCTTCGTCCTCCCCCCTAAGCCCCCCAGAGCCGTCCAACCCACCCAATTGACCGCATCCATCACCCCCCCCCTCCCAGGCCCCCAGAGCCCCTGGCCCAGCCCTTGTCCCCTGAAACGGCGCCCGAAGGCTAGGATGGGTACCCGGGATGCATGCGAAGGCGGGGTCCTGGAGGCGCCAGCCCTGCTCCGAGACCGTCATGACGGCGAAGGCGGCGCCCGTGCTGCCCACGAAGCCGTCCTCGCACGTGTAGTTGACCGCCATGCCCGGCCAGAAGGGCGGCGCCGGGAGCTGCAGCTGGCGCCTTCCGGGACGGGCGGCGGCGGCGTCGAGACGGCTGGTTGCCCAAGAGGACGAAGAGCTTCAGTTAGTTCCTTGTTGGGAGGATTGTTATGCATGGCACCTGATATGTCTTTATGTACAATATGCATATACATATATATATATATATAATATATATATATATATATATATATATATATATATATATATATATATATATATATAATATAATATATATATATATA